TGGGAGGTAGAGGGCCAGCCCGGCGCGTTGCAGCCCTCTCCTTGCTGCGACCTCGGTTGCATTTTGTGGAGACCTCCTCCCGTTCTGCAAAGGCCGGACAGGATGAAAATGCCATCGTTGGGCCAGGTTATTTCCAGGGAACCAGCGCTAACCCCCCTGGTTGGTGCTGAGAGGGCCGTGGGCAGGAAAATCGCCCCCAAGAAACACCCCCGCGGCCAGGGGTGGGATGAAGGACCTCCAGGGAGTGACAGGGACCAGGAACCCACCGGCAATCTCCCTCCTCACCCCGTCTAGCCCTGCAACCCGCCCGGCGATATGTATATTTAAGTCGCTTGAGTCCTTTATGCTTCTGACCCGCTGACATGGGCTGACAGAGCGGCTCCGAGCGATCGCGGATTTCCCATCCGGGCTGCCAGAAAGCCGGTGGTGGGACAGGGCCCAGCGCGGGAAGGCGTTTCCTCGGGACGGTGCGAGCCGTGGCCGGGGGGGAAAAAAAAAAAACCCCAAAACCCCCAGCGCGGGGTGTTGGGGCAAGTTAGGCAGCGACCGCACACGTGTCTGGGTGTTCCTATTGACTCTTGTCAGATTACAAGTGATGGAGAGCGCGGTATGTAAATGCAAGCTATGCGGGGTCAAGATCCGCCTCGGTTTCCTGGTCTCTCCCAGTCCTTTGCACGGGAGCCGAACCGCTGCAAGACGCCGCCGTTCGGGGTTTTTTTCGGGTGCTTGCAGCGGTTCGGGGCAGGGGGAGGTCGGAGCCCGACGGGGGACGCAAAGCTCGCCGCGGCGCGGCCGGGAACGCCAGCTGCCCCTTTCTGAGCTTTTCTCCGGGACCGAATTAAAACCGGGCGGAAACAACAACATTTTCCAAAGGAACTGATTAAATCTATTAAGCTATTTACAAGTGAGCTCCATCAGAGCCCTGTTATCTGGGAATACAACAGGAAGGCAACTTCTCTTAAATCTCAAAGGCGCGGGAGATTTCCTGAGCTCGGGACAGATTTATAAACCCTTTGCACACACGTACACGCAGCCCGGCACATAGCGACCGCCGCCGATGCGTGGCTTGGGGTGCAGTGCTGCGGGGCACGTTTTTGGGGACGGGCCACGGTGCCCCCAGATTTGGAAAAGCGGGGCCCAGCCTCC